TCTTTCTCCACCTCACCTCCCAGTGAGGGCATTGACCTATACCCTTCCCTGGGAAGGATGTGCTTGTTTTGTTGTTGCCCTGCATTGATTTGTAGGTGTGATCCAGGAGCACCCAGAGACATGTTGATTGAGACAAATGTGTGACTGCTCCCAGGGAAGCAGTGACCTTCTTTACTTAGGAGCCAAGGTGGACCTCAGAAGCTCCACCTCCCACTGCAGGTCGTGAGGGCATTGACCTATACCCTTCCCTGGGAAGGATGTGCTTGTTTTGTTGTTGCCCTGCATTGATTTGTAGGTGTGATCCAGGAGCACCCAGAGACATGTTGATTGAGACAAATGTGTGACTGCTCCCAGGGAAGCAGTGACCTTCTTTACTTAGGAGCCAAGGTGGACCTCAGAAGCTCCACCTCCCACTGCAGGTCTCTACTAAGAGGAAAAGCACTCCCTGTCCAAGCTGATTTTACCTACGGGGTTAATTATTGGGATGGGTTATTAGTCTTTCCTAAACATCCTGGGTACCTACCTGCATGGAAAGCTGTTTGAGTTGAGCATGAGTGCTGAAACCTTCAGTCTTGAGCAACTCACATCTATGCAGGCTTGGAAGCTATGGATTTCATGTGCGGCGAATGCTGGGAGAGCTCACACCTGTGCCCTACCCACCCAGACATCAGGCAAATGTAATCATTCATTTGGGGTGAAATTCTTCACATCATAGCAGGGAAATGAGGTCTGCACTGCTGCCTGTACTGACACAATGAACTGGAGGAATGACGTGGGCGCTGAATTTTGTTCTTTTTCTGATCCTTTTGTTTCGCTTGCATGAAGGATAACAGGAACACGAAAGAAAGGGCAAAGTCATCATCACAAAATGTACTTCCAGCAGTGGAAAGCTCGTCCTCCAAGCAGTACCAGGCACCATGTTAACCTTCCAGCTTGAAAAGCCTTAGAAAGGAACAAATAAAACCCCCAAAGCCAATTGCGTGTTTCCTATATCTCTTTATTGACCGCCACTGACCACGTTCTCAGGTTGAGCGCCAGATACCAGTGGAAGAGGTGGAGCTACCCTAGAAGTACAGGGAGAGCAAGGGAGACAGGTGTGTTACGCACAGGCTGGGGAGAGCTGGCTGGGGATGAGAAGCCTCTGCACAGCGCTGAGCCCCCCTCTCTCCCCCGAGGGCACACTAAGACACTGGAAAGACAGTGCTTGTCCTCCTGTCAGTTGTCCCTAAGGGAAACGACAGGGCAGTGGTGTGAACAGACACACTTAAACACTTCGCTGAAAAACAAAATACACGTAGCAACCCCCCGAAGGTGAGATGTTATTATTTCTCCTGCGGCTGCAAGGAACTCGTGGCAGGTTCATCGCGTATGTGCAGGATCTGGGGTGTGGGGCTTGGCTCTGTTGCTGTTTAAGAGTAATCAGTTTAACTCTGTGCTGGGGTACAGCAAGTCTGCAGGGCTTTTCCCCTGCTCCAAGCCTCACCTCAAGACTTGGTGCACCAGGAGCCAGCGTTACTCGTGCACTCCCTCCTACCTGATGGTGGTTATGGGCTACAGCACCAGACGAAGACCCTTTCAGCAAGCACAGCAGCATGGCAGCACGTGCCATCCATGCCATCCCCACAGGTTTAAGCTTCAAAGTCCACCAGCCGCTCACCCAGCCCCTCGTTCCATCCAGGGGAAAGGTGGGGGAGAGGGAGGGGAAGGAAACAGAGGTGAGGAAGAACCAACAAAATAAACCCCTCTAGATATTCACTGATATCTATGCAACGGCTCTGGGAATGAGACCGGCAGGGGGTGGCAGCCTGCGTACCGCGGTGGCAGGCGGGCCTAGGAGGAAGGAGCAGAGGTGGGCTTCTCCTCCCGGGACACGGGGATGGGCCTCTCGCTGTGGCTGGCGTCCATGTTCGAGGGGACCTTGGGGCCCGAGAAGGTCAGCATGCCATCATTGGACAGGGAGCAGGTGATGGCAGCCTGGTCCACGTTGGCGGGCAGGCGATACCGGCGGTGGAATTCTCGGGAGATGTAGCCATGGTCATCCTGAGAGGCAGTGGGGAAAGGGGGGAATGCCTGTCAGAAACCCTTTGGCATTATGCCATTGCCTCCCTTTGCCCAACCCTGCGGCTCCATCAGAGGGGCAGGTCCATATTCACCCAGGCTTATCGTGACACTGCACAGCCAGCGCCACTGGGCACACCTCTGTTTGTTTTAATGTTTCACAGGTTTTTAGGGGCAGGTGTGTCCCGTGATGCCCCTGAAGCTGCAAGAGCTGAGCAGAGCAGCAGGGTGTGATTTTGTCCAGGTTGGGATCTGATTCGGACAGGGGCCCTGCCGCAGCCTCCCGTTCCAAAGGATGCTTGGAGACAAAGTCTGGGCTTCTGGGAAGGTAAAAGCAAGGTGCACGTGTGCACCCACGTATTTATTTACTAGGCTGCAGTGCTGTGTCAGCCAAAGTACACAATCCTGGCCCCCTTCTTTTTTTTGGCCAAAAGAATGAGAAATGCAATTATTTTCTTTAAGTTGGCCATGAAATGGCTGCTCTCTTCCTCTTGAAAAATTAACTACGTTAAAAAATACATACTGTTTCCAGGCTAGAGCTTTGTCTGGCCAAAAATGTGTATGAGAAGAATTAAACCCCTGCTGGTATAATTCACTTTTTGACCCTCACAGATATTTCCATGACATACGTGTTAAAAGTTTCCAAGCCTGAGGCATTTGGTTGTTTTTCTTTTGTTTTGTTTGCTCTTGCTTTTCTCTCCCAGATCAGCATATGAAAACTCTGTTTTCACTAAGGATTCTGGCTTATGAAAACTCAGTCATGCTTCAGCAGCGCCAGATGATGTTCTCTGTCTGGTCCAGTGTTATTAGTGAACAATGGACATCGTCATCTGACGGTTATGGAAGATGATGATTGAAAATAAACAAAAGAGGAGTGGATTAGCTTGTTATTGTCAGATATCAGGTTGAGGCTCTGTGGGAACAGGCCATGCCAATAATTACAATCAATAAATAACTCCTTCTTCTGATACATTCTTTTTTTTTTCCCTTCAACTGAGAACTGTTGGAAAGAAGGAAAACAAAGCTCAACTCCCCAGTTGCTCCACCATCACCGTCACTTCCACTTACCTGCCTCTCACTGTGCTTGCCATGGATTTCCACAAAGTCATCGATAATCTTCACACTCAAGTCTTCAGGAGAGAAGTGTTTTACATCCAGCATGATTGTAAACTTGTCCCGATCAGACCTCACCTGAAATGAACATTGTTAGACAATAAGACCTGAGCCCTAAGCACGGAGGCAGTGCCAGCGTCACGACAACTTAAAGCCCAGAGAACGGGTGGTCTGGAGGCAGCACGGATTCTCCTTCTGTGACCATGGGCCTCAGAGGGGTCTTCTTCTCACCATGGGTACACTGGGAGGTCATGGTAGCTGTCAAAGACACTGGGAGGCTGTGGTAGGTGTCTGCACCATTGCTATTGCTCTGGGGAGAGGTGTCTTTTCTTACTGCTATTCTTGTGCCAAGGACCCTTAGGCACTCAGTGATCCGCCAGATGCACTCAGCAGTGAGAAGGGATGGAAACAGGTGTAATACTCTCTGATAGCATGTGTTTTGTCCTTTCAGTGATTTATTTGTGGTCTTAGGTCCGTGAGGAAACCAGTAAGAGAGAGATAGAGAAAGCACTGAGCTTGGGATCACAGCCCCCACAGCTATATGCTCCTCCTACAGCTGCATTCAGAGGATTGCCCCAGGGTCCTTCAGCATAGGATTGCTGAAATCCCTGAGCTCCCAAGGTGGAGGAGGGGGCCAGAGAAAGTTCTCACTTGCCAGGGTCCTCTCCCATGCCAAGCTGCCCTTGCTGGCTCTTGCTTTGGAAGAAGCCTAGCTCTTCCTCGCCATACTGTTGGTGAGCACAGCGCACCAAAAGCAACCTTTAAGTGTTGGAAACAACCATCAGGAGGCAAAAGAGTTTCTGTTTCTCAAAGAAAAGACTTATCTCCAGTGAGAGTTTCCCTCTGTGCCCAAGAAGGGGCAGGTGGGCAGTGCCTGGTGGACTGGAGGTCCTCCTCGTCCCCTCACACCCACAGCACGGGGCTGCAGCCACCAGCCCCCACCAGCGAGACATGGGTGAGAAGGAACAGGTGAAGGCATAAGGAGGGAGAGGAAAGAAAAGGAGAGGAAGTCAAAGGGCCCTTACCTCTGAGATGCCCGACTCCAGCACGCTGCGGAAGAGGGACTGCCTGTAGTAGGGGCTGATAGTGGATGAGAACAAAGGCAGGAGGTCATACTCAAGGAGACCCTCTCCAAAAAACTGGTCGAACAAACGGCTTGGAATGAGGGGTCCCAGAGCACGCTTGAACCAGGGGTGCTGGATGGTAATGTCCATGCTTGCTGCTGCTGCGACCTGTGGCTGCAAGGGGAGAGCGGAAGGGGCAGTGCCGCTGCTGGGGAGACAGCGATGCCTTGGCTGGACTGCGCAGTGCAGCCCCAGGGAAGCTCCCCCTATATATACCGGTCTCGCAGAATGAAGGCATTAGCAGGATTCCTCTGGAAAGACATGATCTCATGATGGAGGCAACGTGGTCAGCAGAAATGCGGAGACTGACCTGGAAATGACAGTCTGGTTGGAATCAGTGCCAGATGTCCTGGAGGGATGATGCCAGGCAGCAGGCTGTGAGACATGGGGTGCCCAGGGGTACTGGCTGGACCACTATGGAATCAAGCAGGCTAAACATAACACCCCAGTGGGCATCTCAAGGATGCTTGTCAAAAAGGTTGGCTCCATGGGTCTCATAACCCACCTTGGCTTTTCAGTATGTTGCTTCTGTGTCTGCCCGTCCTTGAAACAGAGACTCAAGATTTCTTCCAAATAAATGAAGCAGCTTTCTTCCAAGCAAGGAAAAAGGATCTGATCCAGGTTGAAGAAAGAGAAACTCCTTTTGTCATATGCTATAAAGTGCCTTCACCACTTCAGAGTGGCCTGATGCCCCTGGCACCAAGATCATGGCAGGACTGGCAGGGAAGCAGGACTAATGCATGATGAAGAGCATGAACACAGGTTTGACAAAACAAAATAACTCCTAACAAAAAATACTCTGGCAAGAGAAAGGATGAAAAATAAGTTTGGTCGTGGACCGTAACAGCAGTCCCAAAGCTGCTCTTGAGAGTGTCCTCGTTTTGATTTAGGAGTGATGTGGGAGATTCATTTATCTCGTGGTGTCACACCACAGATCCTGCTTAACATGCATTTCTGGTTACAGCTGTTTTTCATTTCTGTTTCACTTAAAGCCTCCTTTAAGGGGTCATCTGGCACCCTGGCCTGCCCGGGGAACGGGCACCGTGCCCGCTGCCAGAGCAGCAGGCTCTGCCAGAGAGCTGAGGTGGCTGGGCAGCAAAAGGGCAGTGCGGCTGCCCAGCTCCACAGCAGGGCTCAGCAACAGCCCAAACCCCATTTCCACCAAAGCTAGTGATGCTGGGACTGCGTTCCAGGGACTCCTGGGTAGCAGAAGTGCCAGTGTTGGGAGTCTTGTGCATCTCAGCACCTTTTGTAGTCAGTGGAGAGCAAGGGAGAGAGAGGACAGGGCACTCCAAAAGGCACTTCAGAGCTGAGGGGCTGGATCATCCTCTCATATCGCCAGAGACTGAAGAAACCAAGGGTGGCTGAGATGCTGGCATCAGTGCTTTGGGAGAAACAGGATCAGTCCAGGCCAGAGGAACTAAATTCAGGAAAGCACTGAGGCAAAGTGACATTCAGCTAAGCATCACCTGGTGCCCAGGAACTGTGTAGTCTTGGAAAATCCTTGACCTTGACTTCCACACGTGACCCCTCTCCACACAGAGCATGGAGGCAGACAAGGAAAAGTGGGAGCCAGAAGATCCCAGTACAGAGGCTTTCTTTCATGGAAAGCATCAAGTTGAGCAGAAAAAGACACTCAAAAAGGCAGTAGAAACCACTAAGAAGACAGACAAGAGTTTAGGTTCCACCTTACCTAGTTCAGCAAGAAAATGCTCTGTGGTCTGGCCATGGACCTTGTGTGTGAAGACTTTTCTAAAATCAGGTGCCAAAAAGAGATCAATCCCTCCTCAAGACATGGAGGGAAAAACCACAACAGACAGACCTCAGCCCTCACTTAGTCCCATTGTCCCAAATACGTCATTTTGCTTGAGACAATGAAGGGAAAGCAAATAAAAGCACTACCAAGATTTTTCTTGAAGAGCTCTACAAGTTTTGGGTCTTTGCACCCGGAAAGAAGAAAATCTCTCCTCAGCCACCCAGTTCCAGAGACCTGCTAACCCATGTTTAACCAACTGGCAGCAGTGACCTGATGCAGAATGCATCGTCTGATATGCAGAATGAGAGGCAAAATGAGAGATACAGGAACAGGTTCAAATCCCAGGCCACTCACTGGAGCACACAAAGCAAAGTGATATCTCCCTTGCTGGAGGTATTCAAGAACCATCTGGATGTAATCCTAAGCCATGTACTCTAGGGTGGCCCTGCTCAGGCAGGGAGATTGGACCAGAAGACCCACTGCGGTCCCTTCCAACCTAACTGATTCTGTGATTCTGATTTATTTGGCTGATAGAGGAAGTGGTGGGAACTGTACTCACAAAGAAAATGAGATAGATTTGGGGGGGTGACATACTATTTGGGCCCCAAACATGCATGAGGGGTGCATTCAATACCTAAAGTGTGTTGGGAACATCCCCTTTATTTTTCCCAAAATCAGGAGTTATACCAGGAGCACAGGGAGCGACACACACAGAGTGGCACGATCCTCTCTGGGCATGTTTCAGTCTTTTAGAAACTGCCAAACCCTTGAGCTCTGACCTTCAGTGTGTTCTCTGTGCAGGAATGTGGGTGGATTATTGAGGCAGGGAGGGATGGGGGAGCTCAGGTGGGCTCTACCTCTCTCAGCAACACTAACCTGGGTGTTCTTAAGCACCAGGAAAGCAGCTGCTGCTATACAACACCATTTACCTCACAGGGAAGCCCAACAAAACCCATCATCTACTCATGGCCTGAAGTTGCTCCAGGGCTGGAGCACAGAATGATGTGAGTTGGAAGGGACCTTAAAGATCATCTAGTTCCAATCCCCTGTCATGGGCAGGGACATCTCCCACCAGACCAAGTTGCTCAGAGCCTCATCCAGCCTGGCCTTGAACACTCCCAGGGATGGGGCATCCATCACTTGTCTGGGCAACCTGTTCCAGTGGGATGGAACACACGTGTGTTTAACATATGACCAGAGCACCCTGAGTGTTCAGTGGGATGACAGGAATTTGTTGTTGAGAGAAAAATGACAAATATAGCTTCAGCTAAATTTTATCTAAAATTATGTGTATTACCACACCTTCAAATACTTGAAAAGTGGCAGGAAACTTTATGGATTTTTGCCTTTAGTTTCTTCTGTACCCACATTTCCATGTGTCTCCCCAGAACTAGTCATATTCATTTTGTCTTTGATAGATATTTTTGTCTTTTATGGGCAAATTATTTCTCTGAAATGTAAATTTCATTTACAGATGTTTGCTTTATTGATGCAGACTTCGCACTGCCTGCATGCCTCGGGGCAAAGATCAGTCTCCTGAGATGCATCACATTTAGCTTCCAATGGTCTAAAACTTATGTGTCCAGTCCAAACGAGTTGTCCAGACTCCCTGGCCAGTCAATGGAGACAGATGCCTCCAAACAGCTCATGCTTCAATGTGGCTGGGTAGGAAAAGTGAAATGAGATACCTTTCAGCAGTGCCTACATCTCAGCTGACTAAGGAGGGAGCCTGGACTGCTGTCTTAGGGGAGGCAATTCTAATTCTAACCTCCTTCAGGACAAGCAAAGCTGGTGAGATGAATCCCATCCACTGGGAATTTGGTATGAGAAGAGAAAGCAATCAATTTGTATCAGTTCAGCAGATCATACCTCACAAGGCACACAACGTTTGAGCACCATTATCACCTGCAGAGCAAAAGCAGTGAGATTTGTCGGTGTTCCTATAAAAAGAAGAAAACTAACACATGTGCTCATGAGCACACCCAAAAGCAACGCATCAAAGGCAGGTTTTCCCAAAGCCTCACTGCAGATTTAGAATGGGAGTCCAACTCAAAAATCTTCCAGTACATTCTGCTGTGTAGCTTACCTTCGAAATAATCCCTTCCCAAACTATGATGTATAACTGCCAGCGCATGAGACATGTAGTAAAGGATGCTGACCAGTACAAGCTGCAGAAATCCTAGATCACGTTCCTGAGCAAAGCAATCATCAACCATCAGCAATCAAGCACAGCCCTTGCTTGTATTTAGCTGCTCTTAGTTTGTCCACGACTGACTTTCACCTGCCAATTTCCAGGCAAGTCCAGGGCTGTTTCCAACCCCCATGCCAAGCTCTGTACAAGCCCAATGTGAAGAGAAAAACAAGAATTTAAGTGGAGCAGTGACCGGTCAGGTGTGACTGTGAAGGGTTTGTATGAGATTCTGAAGTGCTAATAGAACTGGAATTACTGTTTCCAGCTGCTGCATTGCAGCCTCAGGAGAGCTAAGAAAGGCAAACTGTGCTCTACTTTGCATGTCCTCTTGTGTCAAGTGGTCCCAGTCAACTTGCAGAGGATGCAGCTCTTCAGAGTCCTTATGGAAAACAGCAACGAGTTCTAGTGCTTTCATTCGGATGGTCCTCTGCATTTAGATGTCAGTTGTTTAGTGAGAGTATAAGAGAGTCAATAATCTCTGGCAATATTTCATTATAAAATTGTTGCAGCATGCTAATCAGACTGTCTCCCCTTCACAGAAATCTATGAGGTGCCAAAATGGGTTCATGACAGGCACACAGAGCTGAAGCAAGTAATAATGTGATTTTGTTGCAAGTTTTCTTCCTACCAGTCTTGCTGTGGTGGAAAATGCCACCACATGTGGGGTAAAAAAAACCCCAAAGAGCATGCTTTTCTTAATCTTGCACAGACCTGGCTTTGGAAAAGATGCAAGAAGTCAGGATGAAGTTACAGAAGTCAGGATGCAAGCAGTCAAGCTGAAAAGGCAGACTCACCCATGGGGAGCCAGCATTATCAGTTTGGGCTAAGCACTTACTGAAAGCTTTCCCTAGAAATGAACACAGAGCATTTCTTCTTTTAAGGGCCAATTCCTTTCTTCAGAAGACTCATTTCCTGTTCCTTATGGTCAGGAGCTCCAGACCTTTCTACAATGTCTAACCTGGGGAGCTGCTGGAGCAGCTGATTATAAAACTGCAGTGAGACTCGTTTTCCTCTGCACTCAACCCCCAGCAGATACCATGGAAAGCACTAAAGTAATGATACTGATGATTTTTGAATGCTGTTGATATCTTGCTCAAGTTTACAATGGATGGGAGGAGGTGAGGCCACACCTTTCTTATCTGGGGTCAGGGCTGCAGGGTAACACCATGGGAGGCTGGCATGAGAAAAGGCAGGTGTTACATTCTTTTTTTAAAATAATG